TAGAGCTGATCACTACCCAACATCAAGTATACGTATCTAAAATTGGTGGCGATTCCAAAATAATTCAAAAATTGTGAAATTAAACGAAAATGTCCATTGATTCTTGCGTTATTTAATGAAAAGTTTACAACTACTTTTTCATTTAAAGGGTTTTCTACCATAACATTTTTCAAATTTGTTTGAGTTAGAAACAGTTGTTTGTTCTAGGATGGTAAGAACATTTGAATTGAGGGACTTGGAAAAGAATAGCATATATTTAGATGTTAATTATAACGTAAAGCTAAATTCCGTCAAATGATACAGCAATGTATGCATTTTTGCATTTTAATTTGATATGGAAATCTAATCAACATTCTCGTTGTGTGACCGTACAATTTAAAAATATTGATTATATCATTTGGTTTGAGAATAAAGTATCAATATTAAGCACGCAAGCAGTCCTCATACAACTTCATAATAATGAAAAATTATGGAAAATAATGAAAAATTATTTTTTAACTTCAATATGATTTTTTTTTTCAAAAGAAAATTTGTAATAGCAGAGCCAATTAGATATACAATAACCTGTGCAATCATATTGTTAGACCTGCCCAACAAACTTGTATAAGCAGCACCGGAGTGAAATATTTCATCAGCACTTAATCTGAAAATTGCCAAAAATAATTTGACTGGAATACCAAAGAAAAAACTTATCACTCCTACTGGAATTCGCAATTGGCAATGGCAAATTAAACTGAAATTTGAAAGCTGTAAATTGGAATTTTTTGCTGTATAATTCTTTCAAGCTTTTTCAATTAAAATCGTCCCGCAATCCCGGATGTTACGAGTTTTAAACTAATAGTAATTTTAAATACGCTCAAACTCATCAAGCATATTTTGTCTAGTAGTTGATACTCACGGTACAGTGTGACACTGGCCAGGTAATAACTGAACATTTACCTGAATCATCATGCATCGAATTGCTAGTATGTGTTAAAGCGCTAATTCATGCATTCAGTGTGATCATAGTTCATTAGGAACAAATCCGACTGCCAAATGTTTAAATCATGTATTATGTTATAGCCTTACTCCAATCGAATTCCAAATCGAATTCCACCAGGTACGGGTCTTAATACATCGAAACAAGGGCCCTCTTCAGAAAAACTGCGCAAAAAATGTCCCCCATAAAATTCAAATTTCAGTTTTCAAGGAAAACTTTTGTGGCGAATAAGTTCTCGAGTTCCTCCACGTAATGCATTGTAATCAACATCAGCCCTTGTACGCAGAAACAGTATTTCAAAATTCGCTGAAAACAACTTTTCAATTTTAAATTTAGATTTTCTTATCAACACAGACACGACAAGAATAAGCACTCGTCAATATTTACAAAAATTTGCGTAGCACATATTTTAAAAAAGTTTTTATATATAAGAACTTATGTGGTAAACAAAATTTGCAGTCGACGGAGGACAAATAAAATCGCTTCCGTTATAGAAGAAGGACGAAATACATATTACTAATATACATATTTATGTGAATGGCCGCTTTTTATTCGGCTAATCATTAGTATTTCTGAATTTCACAAACATTCGGATTACTTAAGAATAATCTACACCGTGCACTCAAAGTCATCTATTTTATCCCAAGAAAGTTTTGTGTCGTTATACCTGCATAGATCTGTTTAATCATGTATGCTTTTTCCACAGCTGCATATTCATCTACACCGAAAATATATTATCAAAAATGTATGATCAACCTGACCATATGTGTTTTAAACTCAGACAAATATTTTTGCTGATATGATTTTTTCTAACGTGAATTCATGTTGAAAAATCTGTCTCGACTGCAAAACTATTCAGCACATACATTAAAACGTTTTGACTTCTTGCATTTTCAACATCAAACAAATACACATATGTAATTATCTGACGTAAATGTTTTATTGAAGTAAGAAATTTTAATAAAGGAAGCTATTAAAATCTTTCAAGCTGTATACTGGCAATATTTTGCATTATAACAAGTAAAGCTTGGTGGAAAGCTCACGTTAAGGGAAAATGTGAAAATACACCAGTTCTATATTAAATTCTCTTAGGATATAATTTGAAACAAAAGGAGCTCTACTAGACACCCATTTTTGTCGTCTTTGTAGGTTCATTTCATAATTATATTTTCCATTCAGGCAAAATCCAGAAGCAAAAATGGAAATTAAGGCCAGCTTGACGCGCAGCATCTAATTTAATAATTAATCTGAAGTCATTATACTGAATTAAATTAAATCAAGCTATTATTTCCCAACAGATTTAAACTAGCTAGGTTTCCACGTGTTTTCTTTCAAAACATTTTCATTTTGCCAATTTATATGTTTATGTTTGCCGCTCAAACGACACCACACCACTCAATTGCCAACAAACATGTTTTATTTTATTCATCTTGCAATTGAATCCTCGTTTCAAAAAACTGACTGCCCTATTAAGAAAGCGGATGAGCAAAATAAATGTTCTGTAAATTAGAACGTTAGAAAATTAATTGAGACGAACAAAAACAGAAAGTATCGTTTGGGGTTTTTGCTTGTGTGCTCGTTACTAATTTTGAATTCTAGTTAAAATTCAGAATATTCTTACGCCTAGTCTGTCTTGCGGTTATTTTGCATAATCTAAACTCAAATTTAAAAAGCTTTTACTGCATATACTGACAAATCCTACAAGCAAAATGCAAATTGTACAGCCGACCTAAAAATAGTCGTTCAAAGAAAAGCGATTAAAACTTTTAAAACAGTTCCGAAACTTTTACAGATCTACACAATTCGTTTCCTGTCAAAAATGCATTTCAAATAAAAGCTGGTATTTGGAAAGCCTTTTAAGCAACTCCATTTCTCATTCTCTCTGCCGCTTTATTTAATGGTGTTTTACGTATGTGATTGCAGATTTCAATGGATCCAACTATAGAATTGGGTAGTTTTGCGGAGCGACATTCCCGGTCATTAAGAGTAATTTGATTAAAATTCGAGTTCGAACCCCTGCATTGTTGTGTTTCTGCTATTTAATTTGCTTTGTTTCAATTTCGGTGAACGATATTTGTCGCTTCATGTGGCAATAAAAAACACAAAAAATGTGGTGGCACCCACTCGACGCAGGGCATGTGTTTGTATTTAAAATATAACTGATTGATAATTAAATTTGACTTTTTTTTAATTAAATTTAACATAAATGTTGTGAGAAATGGCACATACATCACGACAAGCAGTACTAATTTGGTTTACTAGGAGTTATATTACATTGTAACCAGTTTCAACTTATTGCATGCTCGACAATTCAACTTACTTTTAATGAGTCACCATAATATATCAATCAAAAATTTAGTCCCTATGGGTTACTGTGCCGGTTATATTTTATGTGCTGGGAAAAGTTTCCTTTTGCGTGCTGCTCCTCCTGTTGTAAAAATTGTATAGGTCCCGAGTGTGGATTCATTATTCAAATATTAGTAAATTACACAGGAACTAAATGTGGAATCTAATTGTTATTAACATTTGCTCTGAACTAAATTCAGTTTATAATTTACAATTAAAAACAAACAACATTTCGGTCGATAACTATTTGAAAGAAATAAATATTTTTATTGTTATTTCGACAAGATCAACCAGATTTTTTGGCAATTTGGAGACACGGTACAATTGGATTAAATATTAACAATAGTAGCATTACACCTTTTAAGGCTTATTTAAATGGCTTTACAACTAGAAATGATTTGGAGCTTTTATGTTGGTGTGTCATTGTTGAAACGATGGATCTTCATGTAAGTTAACAGAAAATTTTACCAAAATTGAGCAGTAATGGAGATTACTCTAGGGAAAATCAAGAGGCAGGAACCTTTGAGAGTATAAGTCATTCCTACATACGAAATGTCACAAAGGAAGTTTTCTTAGCGAAATTCAACTGAGAATTTAGTAGATATTTTATGAGCAATAGTGTTTTTACAAAACAAGCATTAGGAAAAAATAATTCAGTTTGTGAACTCATTCAGTTCGTTGCTTCAATATTTCGAGTTATGCTAAATCGGAAAATATGTCGAACTTCTGCCGCCATAAGGTAGCGACTACAGTGAATAGAAATCTGTCTGTTTGTCAAACACGAAAATACTTTATAAAGTATTCAGAAACCAGAGCTCTCACAAGTAAATAAAGCGTTTATTTTTTAAAATACGCAGTTTTTTAAAAAGTTTACGGAAAACCATTTTTAGTGCACATTTATATGCAAGGAAATTCGATCACTTTGATCCAATATTAAAAATAAAATTGTAAAGCTATTGAAGACGCACGTTAATTAGAAAAAAGTATAGTTAATTAGTTAATAAGTTATATTCAAGCATGTGCATAAAAAAGAAGAGCATATCAGATAATTGTATATCTACATCTATACGAAAACTAGTTCCCAAAGCCATCAAACTCTGAGTAATATAAATTTCATTCTGTTCAAAGAGGACGCGTATTGGAGCTGAATGTGTGTCTAAATGGTCCGTAGAAAATAAAACGTAATTCGAAGTTGACAAGAGGGATATAGCAGAGAAATGGACTTATTCTTGAGTTCATAACCGAACCAAAGCCCTCTGAATATTACAATCATTACCAGTGAAATCAATTTGTCTAATGAGAGATTTTATAGATCTAGTCGGGGCACATGTTACTACTGTTTGTCATTAATTAAATTCCGAGTAAGCTTTTCGCTGATTGCTCTCATTTCAATTTTTAATCTACGACAAAAAGTTAAGTTGCAATTTAAAAACATAGTCTTTAAAACTGGAATACGACTCTGGATAAGTAAAGTAAAAAACTTTCAGAGCTTGTTTGTAGCTTCTGCTAAATAATGAATTAATCATCTAAGGTCTCCTTCCTTATAGTCATCCTATATTTCAATAACCACTTGCTCATCAATTATCTGTTGTAAGATTTAAGGATATGTAACAAATCAATTTGGCATGTAACACTTTCCGCTAGGCGCTTCTGCTTTAAAAGCAAATTCAGTAAAAATGCATGTAATGTCAAATCTAATATAACCAGATAGAACAAGCAGTATTATTTTCACTTTTCCAGATTTCTCAACGAGATATGAAATATCAGAGTTTGCCTGAGATAAAAAATGCAAATGCAGATTTCAATCCTCACTAGCTTTCTTTCCCACTTGTGTTCTTCCATACAGTTTTACCTTCATAAAATGCCGCTTGAGTTACTCCGATGAGTTGGGTCTTGCAATTAAGTAGTCCCGTTGAGTGAGTAAATGTTTTTACACGCTCCCAGGTAATAAACTCCAAATGCTTGTAGTGGCTATCCATCGATTTGGATGATTTTTGTAGAGGCAATTAGTGACAAATTGTCCAAAATGCGATCGACAATGCTTTTCTGAAAACGGATTTGGAATGGATGGAAAATCAATCAGACTGACACTTGCCGTACGAACTCGATATAACTTCTTGGGCAGAATCTCGTTACATTTTCTTGAAGTATCTATCAATTTAGTATTCCTTACGGGATGTCGAAAATGTTTCCATAAATATTTAAAGTGTCTTTTGTCACTTTGGAATGATTCGCACCGACCTTTTCGCTTAAAATCCTATAACTCGTCCTTTCAAGTAATCCAACTTTATCCTACCTCTAATTTGGCTGTCCCCTTTGAGAGGAGACCTATTGTGAATCATTTCTTTATATTCGGGATCGCTTTTAACTCAAATAGCCATGGAAAGATTTCGAAAATATATTTCCTGTTCAAAACAGGAACGGTTTTAATGGATTTTTGCTACGTTTTGCCATGTTTTTGTCAATGCATTGTTTTCGTAGTCGCATACAAATATTCGCTTTCTGAAAAGTTCTCCTGAAAGGAAAGTTTTATATGTTTTGTCGGAAGTAATATATATGGACGTATTGAAATATCTACATTTCTCGTTCCTTTCCAGAATCATGTTATGGATCAAATATTTAATAAGTGCTTTTGCTGTAAAGTTTTTCTGTGTAGAAATTTCAACAATTGTCAACTGGATTCACAATGTCGAAACTTTTCGATATTTATTAATGGTTCCTACATTTCGCAAGCTATTATACATGCCTATAGTAATTGGAAATGGGAGCGACTGGCACTTACCAATAAAATTCAGCAAATTGTTATGGTGTTTCATGTGTCCACACTTGGCTACTTTATTCTACTCCCTAATTATTATTATCTCAGTAACTGTTGATTGTTATCAACAAATCCTGTTGTTTAAATTTTCGAACAATGTGGATCTCCGGCTCATCTGCAGGAGCATAATTTTGCTAGAAATGATCGCTGTCATAGGGATTTGAGCACTGTAACAAATCATCGTATGGATCGATTAATATCAGACCCATACTTTAGCTTTAGAAATTAAAACATAGTAATTTTCACGACTTAGCATGCTTTTCTTTAGGGTAAGCATTTTTTATGCTCCTACATAATAAAAGACAAAAAAGTATACTCGGTCATTTGTTTCAAGTTTTAGCAATGACAAGAATACATGATGGTTACATGGTACATGTATTTTACAAACTAGTTTTCGGAACTCCACACACTCAATTGTTCGCAAAACACGTTTCCGTAATATTTTCACATAGAGCTGAACTTTCACAGAAAATGGTGAAAAATTCAGTAAACTGAACGCTTACCTACTGAAATATGGTTTCTACATTTTGGACAACAAATAAGGTCAGAATATATTACATAAATTTGGACACACATCGAAATTAATCACATTATACTTTGTACAAGTTTTGCTATAAAAATTACCGTTACTGTAAACTTTAGCAACAGCAAAAATTAATTTTACTAAATTTATCGGAAAAACCATGCTTCAAGCGAGATATATTGTTATGGCATGCAAGGTTAATTTTGCGAACGAAAATGATTGATGAGAATTTCAAGCTTCCAAAGGTCTCATGCAATTGTAGGCATACATGAATGTTAAAATCATAAATTTGTGCATTAGATTAATTGCTAAGTATTTTTTTATATATTTCCGAGGTTTTATTACAAAAATACAAGCATGTCCTAAACTAACTGTTGCAATAGGAAGTCTTGCAGCATTTTGCCCCCAAAGTTTTGCCAATACCCAAGTTTTCAAAGTTAATATTTTCTATATAAACCAAAACAATTTAATTTTTTTATATTTCAATAAAAGTTAAACATTTCAGTAGAGGCTTCTGTGACTGAGCTGAAGCAAAGTGATGCCATAAATATGGTATGAACGTTTTGAGAATAGTGGCGTAAATATGAACAATACGAAACTAGTAGCGACTATTAAACAAAAATGTTTAGTTCACTTATGACAAACGGTCAACTTTTAGACTTTTCTCGGTCATCTTCATACACCCCGTTTAAAACGATGTGGTCTGATTTAGTGTTATCAAAACTGTCGTCTACATAGAAAGCATAACGAATAGATACAGAAATAGTAGTCGCTTGATAAATGTAAAATCTACGCCAGGCACACTGTATTAAATGTATTAAACCGAAAATGAACTGTATGTTACCAAAAATGTTCCAGAATCCACAAAAACCAATTAATATCTTGAAGATGGCTGCAACGATGTATGGATGAACGTAAATCGTTTCTAAAATGTACAAGTTATGTTTTTGTTGGTTGGAACCATGCTTACTAGTGTTTAAATCTTTACATCACCAAATTATTCTTAACAGCATACCTGTAGGTTTTCATTCCGATACTATTTTATTTATATTGTAACGGAGATGGCCTGGGATACTCACGTTTCGAATGGGGGGATCGCAATTGATGGTATTTAAGTAAATGGGAGCCCCATTTGCGCCCCATTTACTGTAAAATATGACACTGACAAGCTGGAAGTTTCGCACCTGTTCTGGAGATTTCGAGAAGCATCTGAGTTACCTGAAGGAATCTATATAAGCGGCCAGGCGAACCAGACAGGGGGAGTGAAGTGACAACAGAGACCGGGTGCAGAAGAGGTTAAACCCCGCGAGTCGGAAGAGCGAGTTTTACGTCGGTTACTGTTATTGTTTGCGAAGTTGACCGTAATTTTGAATAAAGTTATACCGAGGTGAATAAAAGTTGGAAGCTGAAGGAAGAGTTAGATACTCGGCCATCCACGGTACATTTGGTGTCCGAAGTGGGATTTACCAGAATCCAAGTTGAATTTTGATGGAAACAAGAAGTAAATCAAAGAAGGAAGACCCTGCAATGGAGAACCCCAGTTTGATTGCACTGCTCATGCAGATGAAAGACGAAATGAGCGACAAAATGGACAAAATGGAAAACAAGAGTAGGAAAATGGACGAAAAAATTAACAGAATGAATGACAAAATGGAAGACAACAGTAGGAAAATGATGGACGAAATGAGCGACAACAGTAGGAAAATGGACGAAAAAATGAACAAAATGAATGACAAATACAAAGAGATGCTGAATAAAATAGACGACAACGCTAAGAAAATTGAAGACCTGAAAACAACCGTTGAAGGCAAACTAAAGAACATCGAGGAAGTGACTGATGATTTGGAAAACACTGAAATCGTGGACATTC